CCCCCCCCCCCCCCCCCCCAGCCACTCTCTTTCCCCCCCCCCCATCCGGCCATCCGGCCACTCTCCGCCCTCCCCCCATCCGTTCTTACTTCCCCTCACACAGCCACTCTGTTCTCACCTCCCTTCCATCCATTCTCACTTCCACTACACCCAGCCACTCCTGTTCTCACCTCCCCCATGCAGCCACTGCTGTTCTCACCTCCTGTGCAGAGCACGTCCCATCCCTGTGCTCCTCCCTCCGCAGGTGTGTCCACGGCACGTGCCTGCCCATCAACGCCTTCTCCTACAGCTGCAAGTGCCTGGAGGGTCATGGCGGCGTCCTCTGTGATGAAGAGGAGGGTCTGCTCAACCCCTGCCAGGCGCTCCGGTGTAAGCACGGGACATGCAGGCTCTCCGGGGCCGGGCAGCCCTACTGCGAGTGCAGCAGCGGGTACACCGGGGACAGCTGCGACCGCGGTGAGTGGCCCGCGGGCACCACCCTCCCATGGCAGAGCAGGAGGGGTAGGAGACAGATTAGACAGAGCGAGCGGTGAAAGGAGGGAATACAAGCTTCACCCTGACCCAGGCTGCTGCTGGGGTATCTCGGCGTCAAGACGGCGGCTCCAGGGCCTGGTGGGTAGGGCATGAAGCCATGTGGCCGGCCACCCAGTTCGAATCCCAGCTCCAGTGGCTGAAAAGACACACTGGACACACATACGTCCCCCAGGCAGAGAGGTGGAGGAGAGGGATTGTGGGTGACCATTCCCCAGGTGGACACACATATTTTCCCCCAGGCAGAGAGGTGGAGAGGGATTGTGGGTGACCATTCCCCAGGTGGACACGTGTACGTCCCCCAGACAGAGAGGTGGAGGAGAGGGATTGTGGGTGACCATTCCCCAGGTGGACACGTGTACGTCCCCCAGAGAGGTGGAAGAGAGGGATTGTGGGTGACCATTCCCCATGGGGGGTGCTCTCCCCCCACCCCAACCTCTTTCTCTGGCAAAAGGATGTGCCCTCTATCAAAGAGGAAAAAAGACGCCGGATGTGAAAGGCCCCAAACTCCCCCAAGGACTGACGCGGTGTCCACAGGCCATCACTCAACTCGAGTAGGGGACAGTCCTTTTTCACCTTGGGAAGAGGCGATCCGGCTTTCCTCCCCTTTCGTCTTTAACCGCTGCTCTCATCTGTACATATTATTGTTTTCTTAGAATGTTTTATATAATTTGTTATTTTAATTTGCTAGAAGGCACATGCAGTCACCAGCCACAGACAGGGAGGGAGAGGAGTGAAAGCTGCCAGGTCAGGGACTTGAACCGTGGTCTGCCACATGGGAGTCCAGCGCCTTAACCACTGTGCCACCTGCTGGCCCATGCATGTTAATTCACTCTGGTGCACAGAGCAAGCTAGTAATTCTGTTGTAGTTTTAGTACAGACTGGCTCACCTTTGACCTCAGAACTGAGGGGCTCTTAGAACAGGGCTGAGACCGCAGGCCCCTCGCTCCCTCTGCCTGCGGGAAGGGACTTGCTGTGCCCGGCCGGCGGGTTTGGTTTGGAGTTCCGCAGGGAGGAGCCGGGGACGTGCGCGGCGCTCTTAGCAGATGTGCTTCTTCTGACTACTTCATACCAGGGTAATTTATGAAGTCCGAGGAATGTCCCTTGTACTAAGGAGCGGACTGGATAATGGTAAACTCCAGGTCTCCTCAATCAAACTGCATTCTTTCTGAAAGTGCTCCCCGCGGTAAACAAACCCAGCTGTCAGTGTAAACGCGCGAGATCGCGCTTGCTTCCCCCTTTTCCAATAGAGGGAGAGATTTAGGAATCCAGTTTTCCTGTCAGAGTGGTAGCGTTGTATTTCTAGTCCAACACACACACACACACACACACACACACACACACGCGCGTACACACACGTGCACACAGCAGCCACTTTGCTGGAAGTAAGGCCAGGCCGAGCAGGAGCCGTTTGCAAAGACAGCCTGCGCTCACAGTCAGCAACCGCGCGTGCGCTAAACCCGGCTCATGACACACACACACACACGCGCGTACACACACGTGCACACAGCAGCCACTTTGCTGGAAGTAAGGCCAGGCCGAGCAGGAGCCGTTTGCAAAGACAGCCTGCGCTCACAGTCAGCAACCGCGCGTGCGCTAAACCCGGCTCATGTAATGCAGCACCGCCCTGGGGACCGCGGGGCCGGGGCCCGCTGCAGGCGCCCCAGCCCTGACGATGGCTCTCTGCTCTTCCCCAGAAATGCCCTGCCGCGGGGAGCGGGTGCGGGACTACTACCAGAAGCAGCAGGGGTACGCCGCCTGCCAGACCACCAAGAAGGTGTCGCGCCTGGAGTGCCGGGGTCGCTGCGCGGGCGGGGACAGGCAGTGCTGCGCGCCCCTGCGCAGCAAGCGGCGGAAATAGGACACGCGCTGCGGACACGCGCCCCGGCCGGAGGCCTCGCCCGGGCTGCGGAGTGCGGACGTTTGAATTATATTGTAAAATACAGAACGGGCTTATTTTTATTATGAGAATAAAGACTTTTTTTCTGCATTTGGAAAAAAGTAATAATAATAAGTGCTTGAACTAAAGCTTCCTCTACGCCGGGGAAGTAAGAAGAGGTGTTCGAACCGCGGTAGAGCCGTGTCCACGCGGACGGCTGGCCCGAGCGCACGCGGAGGGGCAGACCCGCCTCGGGACACCCAGCGGCCGGCGTGTGACCAGGACGCGGCTGGGCTGGGACTCGGACGTCCTGGGGGGACAGAGAGACGAGTGTCCCGTGCACGACGTAAGGTGGCCTGCGGACCTAGTCCTGCCCCGAGGAAGAGGGAGCGCCAAAGCTTTATCTTCTGTTTAAACGCCAACCTGCGAGCAACAGCAGCTGCGGAAGTGTTCGTCTACCATTTTCCAGTATTAATTTTTTGTAATATAAACGATAAAGGAGATGCTAAAGAACCAATAGATTACGGATAAATAAATTAGTAATAATATGACTTATTTTGTTTCTAAGCGTGCTGAACAGCCGTAGACAGTATTCACTTTCAGTGAGGGATATTTATTGTATCAAAGTACATTGTACTTATAACCTTTTAGGCCATCCTTTTGCTGTTTCTTGATGCTTTAATATATATTAATTTATAATTGTCCTGATATTTTTGTATATTTTTCAAACTGAAAAGTCAGGATCTTTTTTTTTTTTTGTGGGCAGTAGCTCTCACATGGGGTGTTGTGTTGGGGTGACTCTGTGTCTGTCTGTGTGTTGACCTCGACATCGGGACACTGGTGTCACCGACCCGGTGGCCGCATTCAGGACAAAGCAGGGATTGCACAGTCTGGAAGTGGAAAACGCACATGGGTCAGGGTCCAGACGGAAGCGGGCCCTCTGCCGCGCGTCCTCAGAGGAAGGAAGCGATGCGAACCAGTGACTCTAGAAAGCACACCTTCCACAAATGAAGTGTTTGACTCTTTTTGCCCTTTTATTGAGGGAGGGGGCGGGGGAGGGACCGTCCTGTTAAGAGCCGAATCTCCTCCCCAAACAGTAAGCCTCCTCCATGACCTCGATGTCCCGTGTTGCCATGTCTGCTGCTAAGTGACCGTGTAGAGTTGACCCTGACTCAGACTGGGCTGTGCGCTCCCCGTTACAGCCCCAGGGTGCCCTGGGAAGATGCAGATGTTCCTCCCAACGTTTTTTACGAAGACGATTAGATGTACCTGTATAGTTCAGTGTGCTCGGTCTTTCTCCAGACTGATATCAGTGGCATTGCTGATGTTTGTAAATTAAACAGATACCTACTTCATTTTCAGCCTGGTGGTTTTCTTAGCCGCTACCCGGTGTCGACAGCCCCCTCCAGGTTTGTTCACCAAAGTCGCAGAGAAAGCGCAAAGACGACCATGCCGAAAGCTGGCTCGAGATGGACACGTGGTCCTGTCCAGGGACTTGGGAATGGCCGCGTTAAAGAGAGAAGCAGGACATTCCCTGCTAGGGACACAGTACACACTCAGTCTAGTCCCCCAAGAATTAGAAGGTAAACTCGAGCTCAAGTGCTGGGTCCTTCCTTGTTTCTCTTTGCCTCGATTACAGCCGGCGAGCAAACCGAAGGCAGAGTGCTGTGGCCGCCGGACTTGTGGGCCAAGGGTCCTGGTGACAGTGTGGCGTCCAGAGCAGGGGAGCCACGGGGCCGGGTGGGATGCCCACGCCTCCCAGGGCCAGGGCTCTGTCTCTCATACAGAAACCACGTCGTGTTCACGCACAGACTCACACACGGTCTCCCACGGAGGAACACCCAGCCCTTCACTCACTGCTTCATAAAATGTCTTCCTTTTTAATTGTATCATTATTTTTTTTTTTAGATTTTTTGGTATATGGGGCATATGCTCACCAGAGAGAGACAGAGAAATAAGAAAGTGAGAAATCACCCTCTCTCACCACCGTCCTCCGGAGGAATGCCATGCTGCAATCCCTTCTCCATTCTCCTCTCGAGACTTTAAGTTCTTTGCCACAGGGCACATGTGTTCACCAGAGAGAATGAGAGGAAAAGGGAGAAATCACCCCCCAGGAGGCTGGCCACACCACAGTACCTTCTCCTCCATGCTCCTCCTGGGATTTCTGGACACACACACATGCACACACAAACACATGCACCAGGCATGAATTTCGAGCACCAGGTTTGAGACTTGAACCTCGGTCAGCCATGTGGGAGTCCAGTGCCTTAACCACTATGCCACCTGCCGGCCCCTCCTCTTGCGATTTTGAGCATGCAAGCACGTGCCTGATACGTCTTCTAAACTGTCAGGTCTAGGACTCAAGTTGGCCATGTGGGAGTCCAAGCCACCTGCTGGCCTGTAATCATACAGATATTCTATATGCATCATCAAGTGTCCATTTATTTAGGTCGGTTGCTGCTTTTTACAAGGTTTTCCATTATCCATCTAGCAATGAAACATCTGAAACATGATGAGCTGTAGACTTATGCTCATCGGTTTGTATTATCTTTTTAAAATGAATGATTTATATATTTAATTCCATTTGTTGTTATTATGATTTTCATTTGACCAGAGAGTGAGAGAAAAGGAAAGTGAGAAAGCAAAGTGCCAGGTCTGGGACTCGAACTGCAGTCAGCCCTGTGGAAGTCCAGCGCCTTCACCACCACCATGCCACCTGCTGGCCCCAGTGTTATCAATGGTGAGTGTGTTTGGAGTGCCTATTACACGGCAGGTCTATACCGTGTGCTTCTGTGAGAGCCCATTCACCTCTGTGTTGTGTGGGTGGTGTTCTCTGTGCTCTGTACGCATGCCCCGTCTTCACACCGGCATGCCAGGCTCCCAGACAGGAGCTGATACTGCAGGCCTGTCAGACCTCGCAGGCAGTAGTACGGGGCCAGCCCAGTAACCACTACTTCTATTACAAACTACTTACTCGTTTATTTAGGTTTCTGTCACAGGGCATGTACTTGCCAGAGAGAGGGAGGACAAGCAAAAAATCACCTCCAGGGTGAGTGGCCACCCCGCAGTCGACTCTCCTCCATTCTTCTCTGGGGATTGTGAGCACACAAGCACACATGCCCAGCATGATTTTTCAAGCTGCCAGGTTCGGGGCTCAAACTGCAGTTGGCTATATGAGCGTCCAGCACCTTAACCTCCACGCCACCTGGCTGGCTTCTCCTGAAGTTATTTCTAAACAATAATAGACCAATCCCTGTTTAAAATTGCTCCGAACATTTTTCGTTTTTGGATGATTTGCTTTCTCAGCAGTTCTTTCTGGGAGAATTGACTAAAAGATGTTGCAGTCAACTCAGGACGTAAAGATCTTGAGCTTTATGGTGTCATCTGCGTCAGGCAGGGACCACGATTTCCAAAGTAATGTTTGCGAGAATATGTAAGCTGTAGAAAGCATATGAAGCTTCGTACAAAGCTTTATCTATTACATACAAAGCTATATAAAATCTGTAAGGCTCACCAAAGACAGACAGAGGGAAAGTGAGGAATCACTCCTGGGCGCATGGCCACACCACAGTCCCCCTCCATTCTCCTCTCAAGGTCCTGGGCACACACGCGCACATGCCCCACATGATCTTCAAAGCTCCAGGCCCGGGACTTGAACCACAGTTGTCCATGGGAGAGCTCAGCACATAAGCACCGTACCACTTGGCCCATTTGTAATCCTCCCTATGTACTCAGAAGTCGCTTCACAACTGTAAACCCTCTCTCTCCTCTTGTGCAAGCAGCATTTCTCACCGGGCTCATGGTGAAACAGACACTGCTTCTGCCATTTTGAAGCTTTCGCTATCCGCCGTGGAGGTCGCGGTTAAGCAGGATGTAGGTGTCAGGGGGCGAGTTAGCTCGTGCATGACGTCAGACTGTGAGAAGTGGCGGAAGGAAACCGTGTGACCCTCCAAACAGGGATGGCAGAGGGGCCTGTCCGTACACGCCGGCAGCCTGGACATTGACGCTGAGTCACGGGAGGTGGAGGAGGATGCGGTGGAGGCAGCTGCACGTGTGCAGGGAGGGCGGGGATGCTGCGGAGGGGGCCTGTGAGTAGGCCTGACAGGGGAAGAAGTGTTGTCAAGGGAACGAAAGCACTGTGGCCCGAGGAGACACGAATGTGTGTAATCCGACAAGGGCTCCTGCCCGCTTGGTTAAAGTTCTTCCTGTCCACACTTCGTTGGAGCGTCCGGTTGTCAAAATGTCAACGGACATTCTTAAACTTTCAAATAGAACTGGTCAGTTGTGCCGAATGCACCTCCTCTCATCTCCTCTCAGCTTCCAAATGAAGATGTGGAAGGGGCGAGGAGTCATAGCAGCATCAGCAGTGAGGAATGAGATGTCCAGGAATCGCAGAGAAATTTCCGTAGCCTGGACAGCGGCTGCTGCTGGATGGGGAGAAGCAGCTGCTGGAGCACCTGGTTGGACCCTCGTGTGTTCCTTTCCCTGTTTACACCGAGGCCAGAGACGCCAAAGGAGCCCGCTGAAAACCCAGCAGAAAATACCAGCGCATTACGGACACCAGGGCTTTCGCGCTGCCTGGTGACAGCCGCAGGCTGGAAACACCTGGGAGATCCCAGTTGCTGGCCGAGGAAGTCCCAACCTCACCCTGTGACTCCTCCTTCACTCCGTGGAATGAAAATCTATCCCTGCAGATGTCAGAGCATCCTAGCCCAGGTACAGCGGCCCGGGAGTGGGCGCTGCTCTTCAAGGCTGGAGCACACAGCAGACCCAACGTCAGACCCCAGGCCGACCTGAACCCCCCGGATGCGTACCCTTGACCCTGGACGGCTGGCTGCTGGAGCAGTAGGGGATTGTGGTGTGACACCCTGTTGACGGTGCCTGTTTCTCTCACTCCAGAAATAAACTTTACATTATATATAGTCATCTCCCACAGAAGGATAAATCCAAACCCTTCATTCTGTATTCCAGACTCCTCACAA